CAGACCACAAGTGTCTGTTTTCCTGGGCCACTTTGTTCTCTTTTCTACATGTAAGACTACACATTTTTCAAGACTCTACTTCTGTTCCACCTCTACATGAAGCCTTCTTTGACTGCCACTCCTGCTATATCCCTTTTTTAGGAGGATCATTCATTCTTCTTCCAAGTTCTCATTACACTTTGTTCATACTTTTCTTTAACTTTATGCAACATGCCAATATTGTGTGTAATTAGCTACATACCTGCTTACCCAACTGTTTTACTTTTCTCTCATTGCTGAGACAAAACACCTGACATCCCAAATTAAGGGGGAAAGGGGGAAACTTCTACAGTTTCCAGAGGTTTCAATCCATAACTGGCTGGCTCTAAGGCAGGCTAACATGGCAGATAGGACTTGTAGAGAAGAAACAGTTCATGGCAAGCAGAAAGTAACAAAGGCAATAAGCATCTTTCTGCCCCTTTTATCTCATCCAGACTACTGGATTAGGGTAGTGCCAAAAAGCCACTAACATGCCCTTAATCCCAACATCACACACTCTAGACTCAGCCACCTCTGAAAAAGCCACCTATGACCAAGTGAGGCTTTGGAGGGACATCTAGACTCAAACCATAATACCAACTATGAACAAGTCTGTTTTGGGTTTCTTGTGCCTAGCACAGTGCCTGGTACATTAGTAAGTTCTTAATGAATGTGTGCTGAACAGATGAATCTCACCCATACAAGGAAGATAAGCAGGAAACAGTAGACACTATAGTTGGCTTTGTTTGCAGGGCTTTTGTCTTTTGCTTTGTTTTGTTTTGATATTATTAGTCCTGTAAAGTGTGTGATAATGCTTAGTAGAAAAAGATGGCATTTGTAAAAATTGGTATGTTCTGCATATTAGAATTAGAATTTTGGGACTTGGTACTGAGAAAAAGAAACAGGTGAAGATTTGAAGAAATCTCTAAATTTTCTCAGGAAAGTTTCCTGTCTTTTCCCTCGGGGCATTAGAAATCTTGGGTGAAGATAATCAGGAACCCCAGTGACAATGTGTGGGGAACACCCCCCCCATGTAATTGATGTAAAAAAAAAAAAGAAAGAAGGAAAATCTCTTTTAGTCAGGCACAGGATTTTGGCTGAAGTTCAGCCACATGCCTATTCTAAGCTGAATTTGGGTATAGCCCTAATAATTACAGTTACTCTTTAGAGAAAGAGCCCAAGAGGTTTACCTGGAGATTTTTTCCAGATGTAAGCAGGTATGTGAGAAGCACAGTAATGAAGATGTAAACCGGATGAGGCCATTTTGTGCCCCATAGTCTTCTCTCCAATCGCTCAAATGCTGGGAGATGTTCCCCAGCAATCAGGAGGATGATGCAACACAGCCATCTAACAAACACCAGATGCAAACTAGTCTCACAAGCTGTAGTGTTAAAGGGAAAGGGGGCAAACCCCAAGTTTGAATGCCTTTGCAGCTATCAATCTGTCATAAATTGTAACCAAAGAGAAATAAATCTCTTTATTCTATCAGTGCCTGGGATGGGTCCATCATATGCCCCACAGACATGCTCTGGGTATGGGTTGAGCCCCGAGATATCTGTCCCTCTCCTTTACACTTCTGCTACAGAATCTCACTGACTTAGGGGTATTGGTAAGGACACCCTATCCCGAGCCCATCACCCAGGTTCTATGTCTTTCTAGACCAGGATCAACTATGGCCAGAAACTGGATGTTTTGGTCAAATGCATTTTTGGCATTACCGCTATGCATCCTTTTTTCCCCTCTGAGGGCAGAATACGGCTTATTTTTTTCCCCTTGGAAGTAGGAATTTTGAAAAAGTATTAAAAGTTCCCCTCAGGGTAAAGAATGAAACTGTTTTGTCATCAAGTGTAAAAACCGCAGGGCATACAACGCTTACTTAGCCTTCTCTGAAATAAAGCAGTCATGCTGCAGAATATTTGGAAGAACAAATTGCAATTTGAGGTAATTAGATGATATAAACTTTTACCCACAGGTTAAAGTCCACCCACACCTGAATGCTACAAATAGCCAGTTCCCCCCTCAAAGACAGTTCAGCGGTGGGTTGGGAGCACAGCCTGAGGTCCCCCCCGACATAAACCTGGTCATGCATTACTAGTGATGTAAGTTGTAAATATTTTGAGCTTAGTACATCATCTTTAAAATGGGCATAAGACCACCTACCTTACACTGGAGTGACAGATCAAGTAACTGACCACAAAGATTATTTAATATGTAATATCATTAAGGTGAGAAGTCCCATAGGGTAATCAAAGGCTTTGTGAATAGAGCTCCAGGTAAGCACATCCTTTTTCCCCTGGGCTACCCAATATACAAAACTTCTCTTACGTAGCTTTCAGCTATGTACACTTCTGCACCTCTATCCTATTTTGACAATGCTGATATAAGCAATTGATGATTCCTAATTAATTTATCTTTCTGCTTATTCCTGAAAATCTGTCAAGTTCAGTCCAGCCTAGATGATATCAAGGGTGCACGGTGTGTTTGCTGGGCACCATGGGGTAGACACTGAATGCAGGGGATTTTAAAACTTTAAATTAAGAATAAGGCTCCCTGGCCTCCATAATCTGAGAAGTTAGCATGGTCTAATCAAATGAAAAATTGAGAAAACCCCATATGAGCTAAGGATCACATTTAGCTACCAAATCTCAGGTAACTATGGCCTTATCCCACAGGGAGCCCACGAATGCTCCTTGCTCATGACAGCTATTCAGGTGTTTGGGTGTAGGGTGGTTCATACAATGGCCTAGTTTGCAGCCTACAGCTATTTTTGGTCAACACTTCTCAAAATTGGTCTAGGACAAAACTAGTTTCTGGGAACGACTGGACAGGAAGAGTTCTTGCCAGAATCTTCTTCTATAGCATGTGGCATTTTTTTAGATTTCACATCAAAATAGTAAAATTTCCATCAGTTAGTATATGGGAGTTTCATGATCACTGGCTAGAAGTCAGTGCTTGGCAATTCCAAGTTTGTTCCATGGATAGCTTTTTTTTTTTTTTTTTGGTAGGGTTTGTGCATTTTTATTATTTATTTATTTATTTTTAAAAATTTTAAATTGAATTTATTGGTACATTCTATGTAGACAGTACAGTTACATTCATTATGGGGATCTTGTACCTTTACATGCCAGGTCTTGGTTCTCATTTTTTCCCCTTGTCCCCACCCTCCCTTCACCCCCCCCTCCCCTCCCCACCTTCAAACACTTTAATTCCATTTTTAGATTTTCTCATATTTTTTTCCTTTTCCCTTATTCCCCTTTCCCTATCCTTCTCACTGTCCCTACACCTTTGGTCCTTTTCTTCCTATTTCACACTGCTAATTGTTCCGTTAGGATCTTGAGTACTGTTTTAGTTTTTCACACCAGAGAAACTATTCAGTATTTGCATATGTGCGACTTATTTATTTCACTTAGGACTATCCATGGATAGTTTTTAAATTTGTCTTTTTTTTTTCTTTGTATGCTGGAATCTCCTATAGGTAATTTTGTTGTTAGATATGTATAATAATAGCGTTTCTCTGACCAGAAAATAAAGAGTTGGGATGTGGCACCTTTGTAGAACTCTCTTGAAGGGTGAAAATACCAGGATGATGGCCTGGGATGTGGCTCAGTGGTAGAACATTTGCCTAGTGTACAGGAAGCCCTGGGTCTGATCCCCAGCACTGCAAAAACAAACAACCCAAACAAATTATGATGATACTGACAAAAGGTGCAGGTACAAAGAAACAGAAGAGATAAAGCTTTTATGTAGACTTCATACACTGAGATCTGTTCTCCAATTATACAATTTATTGGGAAGAACCGTGCCATGAACATCTTGGGGTTCTAGAGAGGCCCTGTTAGGGTTCACTGGGGAAGCTCCTGTTCATCACAGAAATACAAATAGGAATTACGATGGTGCTATTTAATGAGGACAGATGAGTCCTTCAGAACAAGGTGAGTGGACAAGTCAAATTAGAAACAGGTGAAAGGCATGAAGCTTTGGTAGATATTTCTGACCCATTCCTAGAGAAAACCTAGTAATGACAAAACAGGCTGCTTTTGAGAGTCAGATAAAAATGCTTTTAAAATTAATGTTAACTAAAGTTTTCTCACAACGAGTTTAAAGAGAGTGGTTCCAACTTGAACAAACACCAGGATCACACAAACAGCTTTCTAAAATATACATTGCTAAGGCACAGGCCCAGAATTTTTATTAAGTCTAGGATGAGGCCTAAACATTTACATTTCTGACAAGTCCCTAGGTGGTGCTGATGCTGCAGCCTGAGAACTAGGGTCCCAGGAATATGACTTAAAGAGTTGGTTGTAAATCAGAAGTTCTCACCACCCTACTTCTTCTCCCCCAAATAAATCAATCAACAACATAAAACAAATAAAACAGCAAACATTTCAACAAGTAATATTATATTAAAACCTGTCTGCAGAGAATTTTAAAGATGAATATTAATCTTTGAGCAGGAAGAACTCTGCACATATCTCCCTAAAGACCAACGCTTGTCCACTGTGTAAGTTTCCTGTCAGATTCTTTAACAGAAGCCTAGGAAGCAGCACAGTATCATTCCTGCATTCACACCCAGAGAGTGATCAGAACCTCCTCAAATTCTATATTTTAAGCACAAAAACACACATATGCTGCTGAAGATTTTGCTGAGCTGAGGTGAAATTGGGTGATTCTACAAGTTTCCCCTTCCCCCTTCCCTGTAGATCCTTAGAGGTTTTTCCCATGGCCTGGGCTACAAAGAGTTGAATTTGACCCTACTTGCAGAGACCCAACTTCCAAAGGCTACCTGAAAGAAAAGGTTTCTCTCTATATAAACAACAGAACCAGCAGCCTGGGAAGGAGGTAAACAGATAATCCATGAAACTGTGCCAGAAAAAACAGGAGTCTTTAGGAACTGAAGAGAAAAAATTTTACAGTAAAATTTTATTATATAATTTCTGTATTCAACAAACATAAGAAAAGAGTTCTTAATGAAAGTTTCATGTCATTTTTCAGAAGTTTCCAACTCTGGAGAAAAATTATTACAAAGTTATCTAAATCGAGAATAACATTTGACCTTCAAATTAAGTGATAATCCCTTTCATTGTTTTTTTTTATTTTTAAAGCAAGATTTTTCAAACACAATTAAAATGAAGAGATCTTCAAATTGTTATATTGTTTTTATTAAGAATTTAAATATTTCTAAGAAGTGAAAAGTATAGTAGAAATGTTCTTTACTACAATAGATATTGCTGCATTCTTCAGATCCGTTCTGTGTGGCTAGATGGACGCATTCTTGTATAATAGTAAAATTCCATGTCTTCCAAAGGTACAGTAATGCTGGAATGCACAGGGAAGAACTATGCATTTCCTATGCTAAATGGCATAATTCCCACAGATCACATACACCTTACCATATTGACTCAGTTCATTGCACTCCATATCCTGCAGAAATAAATCTAGTGCTTGACAGCTGACATTATTGCCCACTGACATTTCAGTAATGTATTTCTTTAACATAAGACAGAAATATACTGAAATTTGATACCACTTAAACCAAAATACAATCTGGAATTAAACCACATGCATATATCCCACTTCTTTTTCACTGGATGGATGTTGCATTTTTCTTAAAGTTGGTGCTGGAAAATAATTGGCTTTTCTTAACAGACAGACTAAAGCTTAGAAAGGGAGGGCATTTTTTACATTTTTTTAATTATTTTTGGAGGGAAATGCTGAATTCTACTATAAAAATGAAGGAACAGTGACAATACAGAATCTCTGGGGAGTGAGAAGAAGCCCCTCACTTATCTCCTTTATCTACCCCAACAATGTGGCTCAAATCCAGTTCTGAAGGAGGCCACCATATACAGTTAGAATGGCTGAGAAGTGCTGTATATGCTTCTGTGAAGCTGGCACAGATTTTAAGACAGTCTGGATGTTGATGGCCAGTCTAGTCTTAAATTTTACACCTTATTTCTAGAGGGGCATGAAGCCTGCAAATTTCAAAGTGACCCTAGGGTCTGGGGTGAAACATCTGGAGCTGAAGGAGTATACAAGTAAGAATGTGATTCCTCTGGGATTGCAAAGCTACAGCACAGATAATAGTGAAGAGTTATCAGATGTCCGGGTGTACCCAAGGTATCTGAAGAGGGATGAATCATATAGACATGGCCACTCTCACAGTTTGGTTTGTCACAACTTTTCATTTTCACTTCCCATTGTGCTTTCATAATTGTCAAGCGTCCTTCTTTCTTATTTTTGTCTTACAAGGAAAGACATGTCTTCATTAATTATCAAAAATTTAGAAAAATAGTATTTTTAAAAATTGCATTTCAAGATTAGCATTCAAAATTATGAACACAATATGTATCAACCACAAACCATGCCTTCACATCTGGATACTACAATATCAACTTATATCACCATTGTTCATACCTTTGAAAATCCTATCGTTCACGTTAACACCCATTCTGCCAGACTAAAACTTGTAAAGCAACTGAACAGAGCTTTTCAAAGTAAAACCAGCCATATTACTACAAAACAGAAAAAGTGCTGGCTCTTGGCCCAACTGTTTCCATACCAATCAGCTAAGTCAACCTCTGCTTCTTTCTACTTCAAATACCTGGGCTTTGGCCTCTGAAGCAATTAGAACAAGATCAGTTTAAATTTACAATACTGATCCTAATTGTAGAGCAATATGGTAAGTTTGCCCTGAGAGTGTCAATGCATTTTGCAAATATAAGTCCCAGTTTATACATGCAGAAATAGGCACAGAGAGGCTAAATGGTTTGTCCTTTGTCACATAGCAGATTAGTATTAAGTGTGCAAGTTGGGCCTGGTTATTTCCGTGTTAATACCCAACATCTTCCTAGAGGTCACCTGAAGCTCTAAGTTCTGTGCTTTGGTTTTGTTACTTGCAGTATCCTGTCAACTTTTATGCCCAGCATTGGATTTTTTAGTACTCAAGACTTCATCCTTGGTATTTTCTTTCTCCCTCTCCCTCTCTCTCTCTTCTTTCTCTCTCTTTCCCCCTTCAGTTCCTTGATGAGGTGTGTTGTCTCCAATATTTTACTCTATGCAGAGGAATGTATCCAAATGCCCTTCTATTTGCAGCTGTTATTAGGCGTCAAGAGAAGGTCTTATAAAAAGGCAATGGGCAGGTGTTATTCTTTGTGAACTTCAGTCAAAATCAGGCTCAAAATTTTATAGTTGTCTTACATTCCAATGATTTCAATGGAAAATAAAATAAAATAAGGGTCTAATTGTGAGGTAATGTTTATATCTCTGCCACAACACCCAGTGCACCACCTCAGATCTGGCAACAATTTAACATAAGGAAAAATTTTAGACATTCACACCTTTTGGGAGAAAAAACCACCTTAGCTCAAATTTATCCCAAAGCTGCAAAGTCTCTTAAGACATAGGTCCTTATCTTAGGTGGATTTGTGCAATGCCATAAGGCCATGTGTCAGTGTCCTGCCCTCGCCTGGTCCCTACAGGAGATCTCAGTTTTTACATCCGAAGATCAATTATACTTCTGAATTAAAAGGAAAACAACAACAGAATTCAAAAGAAGGTGTGTGCTCAAGGAAAATAATGCCAGAGCATGCATAAGGGGCCTGTGAAGAAGTTTCACAGAGATATCTCCATTTGCAAAAGCTATAAACAGTTCTGGATCTAGTCAATAACAAAATACATGGATGGGCTGAGCCTCTGTTTAAGCAAAAGAAGAAAATATATCATAGCACAAAACTTCCCTTATAGTTTTTGAAAAAATATATCTAGGAAGATAAACATTTTGATATTTTTAATAAGCTGTGCATTAAGTACACTTTGTTTCCACCACTCTCCATTACTCTACAGCTCAGCTTTGTCTGTCTGGGCTGAGCTGCTGACCCCGCTGACTCCTTCTGCGCCACTGCTCTCTGAAGGTGTGAAAGACAAGGAAGCCGAATTTATACAGTATCTTTTGCCAGTTGGGCGGGGTCCATCATCAAAAATATGCCCAAGATGAGCGCCACACTGAAAGAGAAGAAGAACGTGTAAGGTAGAAGTGTGTACAAAGCAGGCTTTGAGAAGAACACAGTAAGCAGTAATGTAGGGCCAGCCTGTGCAGAAATGATGGGAAGCATTCTGGATGATTTCAAATACACCTGTCAATAGCTGGAAAGATGGTTTCTGGCAGGCATCGAACCACATGCTGGGAATAAAAACACACTAGAATTGTGCATATCAGAAATCATTTAGAGCCACTGTATTTTTTGATCTATAAGGTCTCTCAGCCAGCTGAAAAACGACTGCAGTAATTTTACGAATTGAATTGACCTTTGATCTCTCCTTGTAAGAAACATGGCAGAATAAAATCTCTACCTCACTGCACCCGCCCCCCTCCACCTGGCATTCCTTTTGCCTTGGTTGGGTGGGTTTCAGATATGCAGAAGTCCACTGTAAAAGACAGTGTATACTGGCCATGATGGAGGTGATGTTTGCTTTCACGGCCAGTAAAACTTAACAGCAGAAAAACACTGGATACTCTTAGAACACAGGGAAGCAATGGCAAGGCTCAGTAGATTTATGTCACAGTCACCAAGGCTGCAAGTGTAGCAAATGGCAATGTTTCTTGCCCACACAATTGTTTTTACCTCACTTCCAATAAGTGGAATGTCATGCTGGCTTCTTTACCCAAATGAACTGTAACATGTAGAGAAGGAATAAGCTGTTTAGCTAAAATCAATGCTACTGACTATTCAAAAAGCTAGGGAAAGAGAAAAGGCCTAGAGTTCAGAAAAGACTAAAAAGGATTGTTGGCATTGATGGTGTTTAAGCAAATCCAGCCCAGAGAAAGTTTCTCCAAAAAGTTGGTGCATTGAATAAAGCCCTGCACTAACCCCTTCATCTCAGGTAAGTTCCAGGAGATGACTGATGCCCTATGTCACACTTCCATGTCTCCTACCCTTTCTCCGCAGGGGTGGGGTGGGAAGAGGGAGTGGGTACACCAGTGCACTGCATTTCAATGGGCTGTAAAACTGCACTCTTTTTCATGTAGCTAAGAAGCCAAAGGCTGGAGTAAATGATTTCAATTCATTGTTACAACATTTATGGAGCATCATGCTACATGTCAGGTATCACCTCAGAGTCTAGACATACAAACCATAATCCCTGGCCTGATAGAGCTTACATCTAGTGGGAGAAACTGACAATGCACATGAAAGTTAGTGAACTATAAAGTATGCTAGGTAGAAATCAATGCTAAGAAAAACAAAAGGAATATGATGTTGTGATATTAACAAGACAAAGTTTGAAGGTATAGGCCTCCCTGGGGTAACTTTGGAAAGAAGACCTGAAGGAAGTATCTAGGAGAAAACACTTTGAGGAGAGAGAGGAATCAAGACTTACATAATAAACATGTGACAAAAAAGGGCCCATAAATGATACAGTAATTCTTCTTACTGGGTTGGTTCAGTGTACAAAATGCTTATCAAGTGTAGCACAAGAATATGAATTGACAATGAACTGAGGCTGAGATACCAAATACTCATGATGAAACAGAAATGAGGGAAAATGTTCATACAATAGAAAGAACCAGAAGGAGAGTTCATTTCAGTTTCCCCATTGAAGGTGCTAAATTCAATTCTCAAGAATTCCCTATTAGTAAATAGCACAAACTTCCATGTTAAAAGTGCATTCTTATTCTACTGCCAACATACTGTGTCAGCTTATTAAAGAAATAAAACTGAACCCTTAACTGATTTGATCTATTACCTGGAAAATATGAAACAGGCTTAAAAACAAATCTTGCATTATTTTACCACATTCTAAGCAGGTCTAGGTAACATCAAAATAGACAGCTAAGATTGCTTTTCCTTTCTAGAAACAACTGAGGCCAAATTTTCAGGCATCAGCAGCTAAGATGCCCAGTAAAAATACATATGCTTATCCAATGGACACAGGAAAATACCTATTTCTGCCTGCTGAAACAGCCAGGGTTCAGGCTAATAGAAACAAATGCTCTGTGGTTGGTGTATGTGCACAATTATGAATCTCACATGCACTTTGATCACTGACATCTGAGAAGTGAAGTTTTCACATCAGAGCCTTAATGTGTGTGTGTGTGTGTGTGTGTGTGTGTGTGTAGGGGGATGCATGCATGTATGTGTAGTGTGAGAATACAGCTACTTGAGCAAATAAATATTGCCATCCTTTATTAATCATCTCTTGAGCATAATAAGAAAACAGTTCTATTTACACCAAAAATTAAGTATTGTAAGGACATACTCAGAGGCGTTTAGAAGTAAATTGCATGCTCTTTATTTCCCAAATAAATTTTATAAAATACAAATTACAGTAACTCAATCTTTTGAACTGAGTTTGTCTAAAATTGTTTCATTTCCTAATTTGAGCCTAGTCTTCTGGTTAAGAAGAAAGGAAAACATCGATTCTAAATACAGTGGGAGGGGATGGAAAAGATTATAATTGGGAAAATGCAACAAAAATCATTGTCAAACAAATAAACAGGTTGGGAACTAGTATAAAAGTCCTCATAAAAGGTGTGAGTCCCCCAAAAAGGACAGTGATGGTTTCATGGTGCTTGTCAGATGTTTTGAAAGATTCACACCAGAATTAGGTTTCCAAGGGTGGAATATTTAAAAACATAGGCAGGGGTTCATTATGAAATCTGTGCCCACCTATTGCTTGCCAGGCAGCAAGTCCACTTATCTGAAGGAAGACTAACTACACAGCACCGTTGGTACTTCCTCTCTGGGACACTCAGTCTCCCATAACAACCTAACATAACCCAGTTTCCCCTACAAGTGTGCAAGCACTGGAGGCTCCTCCCTGGGGGAAAGCACATGGAGCCCATTCTTTCCAGCTTCCAGCCTGGCTCAAGGCTGGGATGATGAATGGAAGTTGTCAGTGATGCACTGTTTCCTTAGCTGCCTGTGAGCTCTGCCTCCCACCCCAGCCAACTGGCAATGTGTTGGGATCCCTCACACACCTGGTTGTAACTGAGACAAACTGGTTGCCTGATGAAGAAATCTTTGAAACCTGCTGTTAATGATTTATTTCAGGATAAAATTTTTGGTGTGTGTTTTGAAAATTATTTTTAATGGTTATGTAGTTCTTTATTTTACAGGTATGTATAAACCATACCTGAATATTCTAATCCTCATTCAAGAACTATAAGATCATGGTTTAAAAGAAAATTTTAAATTCCTACAGTAATCCTTTATCGTCAAAGGCTCTCACTGAGAAAAGTTGGCAAGAACCTGCAGAGAACTAAATGAAAGGACCTCCTAAAAATGTGACTGAGCATCAAATTTAACATAATTCCTTAAAATCTGACTGCAATTCTCAATTAAAGAAACACAAATAATACATTCAACACAGTTACATATTTCTGCACTGATATATTTTCCCACTACCCTAGAAGGTTTTCTCCTAGCTGTTCTTAGGATGTTTAGGGTATATTATTGTCATTTTCTCTTAAGTGTTTGATCTGCACCATGAAGCATTTTCAAGGAGGGGTTTTTACCCTGGGGCACATGGAACAAGATGAGAAAGAAAATAGTTTTAAGAAGAAACACAATTTATTTTGCCAGTAGAATTCTGTTTTCTCCCAGTTATTGAAGACATTTGTGTGTAGGTAACAGCTCTTTTCCTCTGTGCTTGTGACATCAATTTTTTGCTAAGGAAGTGATTGTGAAGTCACCAGTTTAGCATTATGATTTTACTGAAAGATCAAGAAATAAGAGTGATGGGCTGTGAGTCTGAAACCCTATTATAACACATGGGTATCTTTAATCATCAGCAATATATGAGTTGTCATCTGCAGAAGATTAATAAGGTTTGGAGTTTTACCAAAAACTGCTTTGTTGGATATTTACCTTTCTGTTGATTTGGCTGACTTAAGATAAATTAATAATGGTCTAAAACAAACTTAAGGGACTCTACCACAGATTCAAGCAATAACAGCAGCAGTCACAAACAGACCCGAACCAGCGTAAACTCAGGGATCTGACATTTTCCTTAAAGATTATTACAAAAAGGCAAATGATTTATTAGTCTCCCATTTACTCCAGATGTAGACTATTGATCTTAAGAAGGAAAAATTCCCCAAGTATATCCAGGAGGGACTTATTTTGCTCACTACAGCTTTGACCATACAAATCTTACCTCTTTGCACTGAACTTAAACTCCTGTCAAAGTGTTACTTAGCAGGTTGGAGTTGGAGAATTAAGGAGATGCTCTCAAACAGTTATTCACAGTAGTCAATGAAACTAGCATAAAATCAATGCATTTTATGACAGGTGAAAATACAAATAAAATTAAGGAAAACTTTGAAATTGAAAATTAATAGAAATTCCAGGCCAGGGTTTAGACATGTGCCCACAACAGTAGGTAAATTGATGATAAAGATCCTTTTTGGAAGAAAGAATTGGAATACAATTTTTCAATTCTGTAGGTAGAACAGCAAAAGAAAACAAATATGATCGTAACACAACTCAGCATGAGAAGAGTAACCTAAATGCACATGGCAATCATAATGAAAATAGTGAAGAATCTCTACCACCCTTGCTGGTTTTCTGTTAGTGATCAAGCAGTGAGCTAGGTTTCTTACAGAACAAATCTTTTGCAAAACTCCTTAGCAAAATGGAAACAGGAATGAACTAATCTTAGCTTTGTCAATAAATGTTACTACCCAAATTTATTTGCCTTCTTTGTGCCTCAGCTTTCTCAACTGTAAAACCAGGGAGAATAAAAATACCTACCATACAAGGTTACTGGAAGCACTAACCCAGGGAGCTTCAAAAATGCTGTTATGCAGGCTCCCCTTAGTTCAGTCAATTAGAGTCTCAGAGGATGAAACAGCATCACAAAATGCCATTATCATACTCAGAGTCTCACTTCTGAGGAACAAGAGTGATCTGAAAATGTAATTTAGATAAAACATGCTTTTCCAAGGAGAGGGTGGTCCTCATATTTAGAAGACAGTAAACTTGCCAGCCTTGTTTAAAAAAACAAACACACAAACTGAAAACAGAAATTCACCACCTGGTAAGGTTCAGTCCAATCTCCTTCTGTACTTGGTAGTAAATATACCACCCACTCCCTAAAATCGTGTACCTATTGAGGCAGCTAAAGAAAAATAGATAAAGGGCAAATAGCGGAATCCTGAGGAAGGTACCTGTGACAATCACTTTGCTACCTGGTGATGCCTCCTTTACTTCTGATCCATGCAACAGACATCACCAGACAAAATACTCTAGTATTAATGAATGTCAATGCCACAATTCTCAAACTGTACATTAGTAGTTATTTAAAGCAGACTGGAAATCAGGACTGCCTATCAGAGAATATGTAGTTGTTCTTATTCTGGGTCCATGTAAGTTACAGCTCCATTTCTGCATTCAAGCACAAAATGCCCCACAATTTAAGGTTCTTAATTAAGTATTCTTGGGCTGGGGATGTAGCTCAGTGGTGCCACCACCTGCCTCACAAGAGCAAGGACCCAAGTTTGATTCCCAGTACCAAAGGAAAAAAAAAGTATTCTTGACTCTTCCTCAAAAATGTGTTCATTTCCTCCCTCAGAGCCAGCATTAATTTGTTTAGAGACATGTTGACAAAGATAATTAGAAAATCCTTGGAAATAAGGATGAGTCTATTAAGCAGGAAAAGCAGAGAAAAGAATTACTTTATCTCATATTCCCATTCTGCCTTCAATTAGCTTAAATAAGCTTCTGCTTCCTATACAACCACCTTCCTCATATTTACCCAAAGAGAAGCCAATTCTGGAGTCTTCATTGGCTGTGTTTATATTATAGCCATCAGTACTAGGATTGAATAGTAGACACATAGAAGTGTGGGGACATAGAGATTATCAAAAAAGTAAGTTATGCAAGGCCATATAAATAAAATCTTCAGATACCCCAAGAATTGCCCACAACTTGCGATATTAAGTCAAAGGAAGATTTTTTCCTACCAACATTTGTTTAACAGTGATGAAGCCAAGGATTGATATTTCATTGGATATGCCCTAACCCTAATCCTAAACCTAACTCTGACACTTAAAGATGGAGGAATCATTCAGACTTTGAAAAGACTGCATTGTGCTTGTCTGTCCTTGTGAACAGTCCTTTGTCCTTAGTTGCTGTATTTTGTAAAACTAGGAGTCTTGAAAGTGTTTGCAGTGCAGTGAGCACCCTCCTGAGATTTTAGGTGGGTTAACTGACCTGAGAGCAGCTCGTTTCCACCCTGTGCATCCCATAGGAAAAGTCATCTGTAAACGCAATTGCTTCAGAACTGATCACATCGTGAAACGAGGGCCAACCTGGGTCAGAGCAGGTACAAGAACCAAAACAGAGAAAAGAAACACACAACCTTAGGTTAGAATACAATTTTAAAGACATCCTAAGCCAATAATGCACATCCTTACTATATGACTCATGTTTGACTTTTCCAACCTGAAAATAAAGATCAAAAGCTGAAGAATAATACATTTTATAAGGACAATAATTTTTAAAGAATAACTATTTACTCACATTCATATTATGGGTGTACAAGGGTTTTGTGTTTAGTGAGAAATTTTTAGACCATCCAATAGTTTTTAGAGCATCTTCAAACTTAGAAATCTCCCTCTTAACCACTCTTTCTCTTGTCTTCAGAATCCGGCAGCAGAACCCTGAAGCACTATTAATCTTCCATTAATGACATTTTTAAAAACACAGTCAATTGGTCTATTAACTAGTAAATTATTCCAGCTCCTTCAGAAGCCATGTTTTTTCAGTATGTTGTTTGGATGATTAAAATATAAGAAGACGAATATCCTATCGTTTACATCATAAGCTAATTCCTTGGAACAGATTTATCTGAAACACAGCTCATATTTTGTGGGAAGAGGATTGCTCACTTCCTAGGAAAAAGCCAAGGAGCAGCATTCTTCAGCTCTTCCCCTCAAATAGCATCTTGTTCCCATTTTCATTTATTCTAATCATTAAAAAAATAAATTTATAATTTAAGAAACCCATCAAAAAGTGGGCCATCAGATTGGCACATTTGTTTTTCTCTTTTGGAAGTACTAGGAACTGAACTCAGTACTGGGGACTGAACCCCCAGGATGAGCTACATTCCCAGCCCTTTTGTATTTTTTATTTTTGAGACAAGGTCTGGGTAAGTTGCCCAGAGTAGATTCAAATTTGCAGTACTCCCCTCTCAGCCTCCCAGAGTGCTGGAGTCCAGGCATATGCTTTTGTACAAATTTGTGAGTGTATAGACAGGTTTTATGTTCAATAACTACTTCAGTGTTGGGAGAGACACTGAAAAAAAACTAAAACTAAACATTAATAAAGACATGTCAAAATTCCCCCAAATTCAGTGTCCCTTTGCAAGGTGGAAAAAAATCTAGTTTTCAAAATTTGAGCTCACGACTGCTACAAACCACCTGAAAAACCTTAACCTTCTAGACTCTTAACATCTCATAAAGCTTATTATGCTGAGACTCATTAATATTCTCAAGAAAACACATTTTTCTCCATTATTTTATGTCACCCAACTCTAAGGTTAACAAAGAACACTACTTAACTGCTTTACTAAATCTTTCAGAAAAAAAAATGAATCTCTATGATAAGAGAATCCATCAGAAAGGAAGTCCTTAATGACAATCAAGCTAAGAAGGACCTTCATCCAAGAATAAAATATCTTATGGTAGAGAAGCCACAAGGATGACAGCACTTTGAAAGTGGAATTCCCCCATCATGTGAAAGTATTTAAAGGAGGAACTCTTCACTGCTGTAAAAATCCTCAAAGGAAACCCTGCCCCCACTGCTAATAATAAGGACAGTGCTTCAAAGAGTGATAGGCAAAGACTGAAGCAATCTGCGTTTTGTTGAGAAAATTATCTTGAGGAAAAGATTGGGGGAGGGGAGTGTGTTTATGTCAGTTTTGACATTAAAGAAAGATCATCCATCCTCCTTTCTGTAGGCTTTTCCTTTTGGTCTTCTCATGTAACAAAACATTATTTGTTTTGGATATATTCCACGTACTTTTTAAAAGTAGTGAAAACCTGTAGAAACAGAGTGGGCTCACCCCATCCCCAATACATCCCTAAGTTTCTATACGGTGGAGCTGGATTTAGGCCTGTTATCATTTCATTTCAAAGATGATAAACTATACATTTTAGATATTAGTATACTAGTATCAAGAATATCTTGTTTTCAATAAATATGTTCTCCCCTCAAGGAACCCCCATCTCTAGAGAGTAAATAAAAACAGCTACTACAACTGCAGTTGACCTGTTTGCTTCAGTTTTATTCAACCATCAGGCTACATCAATCTGCAGTTGTAACTCAGTATTTCTTCTATAATGTGAAGTAAATCCAGGACATGCTCAGTTGCACCTCTAACATAAGAGCAAGTGTTCCAGATTATGAGGAGTAGTTCCTTGGTGCTTGCTGATATCTACACTACAATGGATTTTTTTAAAGATTGCAGGAAAAAGGATTATTCTACCCTTACCCATCCATAATGTAGCTCTGAGCCCACTCGACTCTATACTTGAATAGTGACATGGCTCACCAAAATAGAGCTCTGTTGACACAATTTATAGATTTTGTTCAAACTGCTTCTTAAGAAAAACTTTATCATCTCCCTAACTGTACCTATTCCTTCTTCCTTTCAAAAATGTTTAAAACATTTTTTTCAAATTGGAAATGAGTAATAAGCTGAAATCAATCTGTCTGATCCATGTCTAGAAAGTATAGCCCTCATTCCTCTAATCTTAATTTAATGAAGATTGATATATAGCTGCCAATTCCCCTACAGTTTTCCCTTATCTATTAATAAAAATTAGAAACTTCAGTAAGTTAGCTACATGGCTAGTGAATAGAACAAAGCAGAAACTACTGATGAACAAAAATCTATTGTATTGAAAGATAATTACAATATTTTGTAATCTTCAAATGTAAAATAAATTTGAAGACTTACGTGGGCCTGGGCAATGGCTTACTAATGATGATTTATTTATTTGATAGCTTTGATTAAACAAGGTGGAGATCCATATTTTTTAGTGTGCACTAGTTCTCACAGCTCTGTAATTCTAGAGACATATTTAAAAATTTGTAACTTTGACTTTTTCTGTAGCTAGAATCTATTCACCTCACTGACCATAATTTACCTTATTTGCTACCTCAAAACAAATAATGCAACTCTCTATGAAGGCCCCCTTGCTGACAAGAATTATTTGAAGCTTAGATCCCTGATTTTTGGAGAATTACTCATTTGAATTGACATTTCAAGTATAATTTTTATTTCACTTTAAAAAGGATGATTCTCGGCTCTCCTTCAAAGACCTATTTGGTTGCAATATAGTCTTCAAAAGTTTAAGTAGTAATTAACCAAATATACGCATGCAGTAGAAAATCAAACAGTGCAAGATGGCTCCTAATGAAATTTTCCCTTTCAATTCTTTACCTACCCATAGACAACTATGATCAATAGGTTTTCCATTTAATTCTTTTAAAAAATGTGCTTATGCTATCTCTTGATTTATTTTAAACCTATGCTATCCAATACAGCAGTTATTTTCCACATATCACAATCAAAACCTAAACTAGATTACAGTTCCTTAGTCACAAGAGCCACATTTCACATTTTCATCAGTCATATGTAGATAACGGCTGCTATATTAGACAGCACAGATGCACACAAAAAACATTTCCACCACAAAATCCATAGACATAGAACATCCCTACCATAAGACAATGCTATTTTAGACATTATAAATCGATTTCTTTTTATGAAAAAGGGATACTTAGTATTCACACCTACACTTATATTCCCCTTTCCAAGCCTTGATACTTATATTATTTTAGATTTTTTTCAAACCTCATTTAGTAATGTCTGCTTCCCAAACTAGAATGTAAGATCAATTTTAAAAGGGAATTTGTTATAGTTATCAATGTATTTTCAACTACCTAAACTAATACCCGCATGACAGGATTACATGAGCTCAGAATTCAAGGTCAAATTGGCAAGACTGTTTAGGTAGACTCAAAATAGGGCTTGCTACATAAAAGGCGTTCCAAAACATGACTCATGAACAATGAACAAATACATAAATATCTTGTAGATTGAGACAATATGGCTGGACACACACACTATAAAACTGCCTTTGTGAACCCAGTTCTCTGGGAAGTTGAGGCAGGAAGATCTCAAGTTTGAGTCCAACTTAGTGACTTAGTGAGACCTTCTTTCAAAATAAAAAAGAAAAATTTTAAAGGCTGGAGATGTAGCTCAATGAAAAGGCACTGATCCCTAGCACCAGAAAAAACAAAAACAACCAAGAAATTACTTAAGTAACCCTAGCCTCCTCTACTTTTTTCTGCCCCATTCCAGTATCAAGCATAATTAAGGGTTCTGTGCTTTTCTATAGATTCTAAAAACAGAAAACAAATAAATAACATTTGATTTATTATGCAATGTACCTGCTGCTAAGTGCAGAGCTAAAGAGTTAGGATAGTATTTCTTTCTCCACAATTCAATTGTTATAATAACATGCTGCCTGAAGCAAAAAAATTTTTTTTCATTGTGTCACTATTAAGATGTGGTTTTTCTATAAAATGGAATATTACTCAGCCATAAAGAATGAGAAATTAGAGTCATTCACAGGAAAATGGATGAATATTGAGGATATACTCTTTAGTGAAATAAATAAGTTACACGTGTAAATATTGAATACTTTCTCTGGTGTGAAAAGCTATAATTGTACATAAGATCCTAATGGTAAAATTAACAATGAAATAGGAAGAAAATGGCTAAAGGTGTAGGGAAAGTGGGAAGGGTATGGGAAAGGAAATAAGGGAAAAGAAAAAATATGAGAAAATGAAAAAATGGAAATACAGTATTTGTAAATAGGGAAGGGAGGAGTGGATAAAGGGATGGCAGGGGTAAGGGGAAAAAATGAGAACCAAGACCTGTCATGTAAAGGTACAAGATCCCAATGATGAATATAACTGTACTGTATACCTAAAATGTACCAATAAACTCAATGAAAAAAATGTATGCCACATTTCTTTTTGGGTCATGACTATTACACAATGCACAAAAATTTTCTATAACCCAGGATTTTAACTTTTGAATTTTTATTTATAAACATTTCAATATGCAAAAATACAGGCTAATATAATATGTATCCATGATTTAATATATTAACTACCTAGATTTAACAGGTAATAAAATTTTCTATATTTGTTTCTTATATTTTCTCTTTCTCTGACAAAGAAAAATGTTCTAATTATAGCCAGATATGACTCCAATATTCTCCCTACTCACATA